CAACCGAATTGGTTTGAATCCATTCGATATTCCTCATTGATCAACCAAACTTCCATGCGTTTCCCACAGACGGCGCCAATTGAAGATGCAAGAAATTCCTTCTCCTCTTTCTCTCTCTAGAATTCTTACACCTCAAACCCCAAAAAGATCCCCCTCCATTTCATTCCATCTCCTATTTATAGATATTTACAAGATATTTACAAGATATTTACTGATTGCTGGATCTGGGCCTATTCCTTCGTAAGCCTTGGTCACCTTTGATGGGCTTACTCTCGTTCGGCCCATATGGCAGTGTCCTTCTATGGGCTGGCCCAGCTGTACGGACTGAATGTTGTGTTTGCGAGTCGGATCTGGCCCATGTCATCCGGGGCCTCCTCAGATATATATCAAGTTGGCATGATTTGAATAATCTTTTAAATCTAGAGAATTAATTAGTATGAATTGATTTAAATACTACTTAATTATATCATACTTGAATTCCATCCTAGACTTGAAATATGGCATGATCATGACTTATTCATTGCTATATATTTAATTGGAATCATTTGGACAATTCTTGAAATCTAGAGAAATTACTTAGTTGGTCTATTTAATTTCTATCATATTGATCTTATGATTAAATCATGTAATTCATGGAAATTATTGTGTGTTAATACATATTATGACTTGTTGCTCTATATGTTGATTTTGGGAACTTGGGATATCATCAAGAACTTGACATGGCTAGAGCTTGGTTCTAGTACGGGGGATTGTCCTCCTAAACTATAGTGCGCACTAGGGGAAAGGTAACCATGGGTTAATAGCCCTAAAGTGATCTCAAGAGTACAGTTTTAGTCCGGGGGATATCCAAGTATCCACCTTAATTTGATTTCACTCTTTAATCCTTAGACTTGATAATCTTGTGATATTGCATTTCAATGTGCCATGTTAAAATCTCAATGTCATTTTAATAGCATGGATCAAATACTATTAAATTGCAAACTTTGTAATAAGTTAATCATGTGCATGCTCATCTCCTACGAATAAACTTGTTAGTCTTATTTATTCACCCTAAAGTTACTGGGTGTTTTGCAGGTAAAGAAGTTTTGTTATGGGATACACAACACTCTTAGACAAGCTAGAGGTCTTGAAGTATTTTTGGTGTCATTGATATGCACTTGTTAGCATATTATGATCTTTTTGGTGTATAGTATAAAAACTTGTATTTGGTTGTCTTAACTATGTAATGTGTACTTAAGTACACCTTTTGCTACTCTATATATGTGTATTGTAATGAGGCCAAGGGCCAAAGATACTTTAAGCTATGTATACTACTTAATTTTCATACTTTGTTTGTGAAGTATATGAAAACTCATCCATTGAAGGGTCAAATTTTGCATATAATATGCCATGAGGCCGTAGGCCATTCTAGCGCGTTTAAATCATCATTTTACACATGCGTGCATATTCATATCAAGAAAAATACATTGAATCCAACTTTTGAACTATTTTGGAGGAAATTATGAACTTTCATGAAAAACTCATGCATTGAGTATCATTCAAGGTTCCCTTATGAAATAGCATGTAATGGTTGTTAAAGTAAGGTCCAATGATGTTTTGAAGCTTGTTTGAATCAATTAGAAAGCATGCATAACCTTAGAAATGATCCTAGCATCTTTCCTCTTAGATTACAGAGAGTATAGCAGACATTTTTAGCAGTAGCAGGTTCCATCGGTCGACTGATGGCAATCATCAGTCGATTGATGATGGTCTCGTAGCATTCCAGTAGCCATTTTAGAAAAAAATGAGCTATCAGCCGGCTAATGACTGGGGTTCAGCCGGCTGACAATTGACTTTCGGTCGACTGATGATGGAGGTTCAGCCGACTGATCCTCCCTGAAGCATGGTTCACTCTCAGCATCTCGGATAAAACTTTTGGGTCAACTTTAGAGGGCCATAACTCCTTCATTTCTAATCCAATTTAGGTCATTCTTAAGCCTAACCTCTAGAGCTCGAAGTCAGCTTTCCATTGATTCTAAGAACACTCAAAAAATCCAACTGTAGTGAAAGTTATGACCATTTTAGTGAGATAGGTTCCTGAAATCTCCAAATCGGAGAATGCTTCTTCTTCTAAAATTCATATCTTTTCCGTCCAGACTTCGAATTAGGTGATTCTTGAGTCTAAATTCATTAATTTTTCGTTGTGTTTCTAATGGTGTACCTGGTAGCATTCAATTCTGGGTGAAACGACCATAATACCCTTGGTCCATTTCTTATAGGATTTTAAAGTCTTTGTTCTCTTCTTGCTTCCATTGAGTCTTGGGATTTCTTAGGATGCTATCCTTGTGTCTTAGGGATGATGTACATCTCTAGAAGCCATATTTCACTTTAGCTTCCGCATTCTTGAATCATTATTTGATTTTTATTCGGTTTAACATTAGACGCACTGGATTAAAAACCAGGGCCGTCACACGAGTCGACCTGCCTGAACTCTGAAGAGGTACCATCCTGTGCTCCTACACGCCCCTTCCCTAGAACCATTCCCAGTGAAACTCTACTCTTTGCCAACCAGTATGAGTGTCTTCCATACTCCAAGCGTCTTAGAAATCACTTCGTGACACACTCTCCCACCCAAATCCTGCGACGCCCTCGTCGTAGTGCGGCACTTCACTACTGCGTCCACTCCCTTCCAAAATCTGCCTCCAAGTGGTATGCTCGCTTTCCCACCATCGCTTCCTTGTGCAGCTCCCTACACTACACTCGCCCAATGATAGGCCTCGGACCAAGGGGACGTCTACTCCTCAAGGACGTAACTCTTCTCCATCATGCCACCTCCGCGACATCCCGAGCAAGCAAGGGCCTCCTGCCGACTTGATGCCCGCCCTTCTCCATGGTTTGCATCACCCAAGGAGCTAGCACGAACTTTGGTGCGCACGGCCCTCCGGTTCTCCGGTGCGTAACTTCAACGGACGCCTAAGGAGATGGAGGCTCTCTTCCTGACTGCCTTGATTCCTCCTCATCAACACAACTTCAATGCACCGTCTTCATTCTCAGACCCCTCCTGGATTGACAAGGGGGCACCCCACCGTAATTTACCCCTAGTACTGCTCTGATACCATTTGTCACGGGCCTAGAGATTTGGCGCAGCGGCACGGCCCGTGCGGCACCAAGGCGTTGCTTCAGCTCGCGCAAGCACCCTGGTCAGCCACCACGACCTGCCCTCCCAATGATACATGCTGACTGGTTTCAGCCTGCCTTGGCCTCGTCAAGGGAACGACTCCAGCTCCCGACCAGTTTGTACAGGGATGGCCAACTCCCTTCTTCATAGTCAAGTCCACGACCAGCGACAAGCTCCTCGCACTCAACCGAGTCGACCTGCCTGAACTCTGAAGATGTACCATCCTGTGCTCCTGCACGCCCCTTCTTAGAACCATTCCCAGTCAAACTCTGCTCTTTTCCAACCAGCATGCATGTCTTCCATACTCCAAGCGTCTTAGGAATCACTTCGTGACACCGCTCTCTCTACATTGATTTTGCAATGTCATAATTTTTAGACTTTTCCTATTGTACTCTATTTTTTATCCTAAATTTGTTTTTCATTTGCATAATTCCTAGCAAGGTTTCAACGGGGGACTTGGATCCTCTAAGTTAAAATTCTTCTAAATTATTATAAGTTGAATTCTTTACGGAATGACATATGTCATTAAGATATTTCTACGACCTATGTTAAACCACTTTAGCTAATTTAATAAAATTTAGAATACTACACTGTTTTAAGATAAAAAGCTTTATGAAGACATAAACGTCACTCTTTCTCTCTCTTATAAGATCTCTCTTCTTTTCCCAAAAAAAGATTGTTCCCTCTCTCTTTTATGAAATAATAGTATTGGCTTGGATAAAGAATGTGATTTGATTAAAGAAACTAAAGTAGTAGGTTTTCAATTTAATAGTATACAGTGCCCGATTAGATGAATTAATTTTGTGAAATTTAAGTTTTGAACATAGTTTGCCATGATATAGACATAAAAGAGACATTCTTCATTATTTAGAATTACTAAATCTTTGGTTGGTAATAACTAGATGCATTTTTTATGCAGATTCAGATTTAGATTTAAACTGAAGTATAAATGATTGAATAGAAAAGCATTCAATTAAGTGTAACTGTCGGTTATGTAATATTGATTCTGCAATCAATAGCTCTTAAGCATATCATATATCAAGCCTATAAAAAAATAAACAGAGTTACCAAGCGATCTTACTGCAGAGAAGATGATAGAAAGAAAGTTAATGTTGTTAAGGTACTTTTCTATTTTAAAACAGTGCAGTTTCTTAACTTTTATTAAATTAGCTGAAGTGATTTAAAAATAAGTCATAAATATATCTTAAATAATACATGTCATTATATAAAAAATTCAACTTAGGATAATTAAGAGCAATTTTAACTTAGAGAATCCAAATCCTTTCAGGGACATGAAATAAAAACCACTTTTTATAAACACCAACCTCTTGAATATCTTGGCACTATACTTTTTTTTCTTCATAAGCACTTGGTACTATATTAATCATTTTATCCTTTGTCTTTTGACCTTACAAGTTTTTGTGAGCATATAAAAAAGAAGATTTAATAACATAAATAAAATAAGTTTGAGAGTTAATTTTTTGGACACCTATTCTCTGGACATTATTAGTTAGTGTTATGGTTAAAACGGATGATAGATATAAAATACTTTTATTTATCTTGTGCAAATGTTACAAATGAATGAGATGAATATGTATACACCTATATACATAATTAACATGTTTCATCCCTTCACCTATATAATTTAGTGGTATTTTTTCATAAAAATTAAGAAAAAAAAATTTAAAAATTATGAACTTGTGGATGTATTTGTTGCTAGAAAAAAAAAAAAAAAAAAAAAATGGTCCCGTCAAATTGATTTCTAATTTTTACTCATTGAAATAAATGAAAATTAGCGAAATAGTAACCCTTTTTGTTAGTCAAAACAGTGACTTTTTTGTTTTCATTTCTTCTTTCTAAAAAGCCAATACGCTGTCTTTCCCTCCTCTCACCGGCGAGTAAAACACGGCCCCTGTTTTTTTTACAAAACACCGATTTGCTTTTTTAGGGTTTAGTCCAACTCCAATTCACTATCTCAGATCTCACCTATTATCTCTCTACAGTCACTTCTTGTGGTCCTGTTCTTCAATTTTCAAATCACATCAATCTTAAAAAAAAAAACAAACGTTTTTATTTTATTTTATCAATTTCGAATATTGTGATCAATGTGATTTGCTTCATTGAAGCTATTCAGAGACCAATCTGCATCAAAACTACGGTTTCTTTTTCTTAATCTCTGGATCAAAGTTGAATCAGAGACTTCATTAATGGCAGTGACTGCTTACCATGAAGGTTGAGAGTTTAGCGGTGTCGTTCGTTTTCGGAAGCGTTGTCCATGGCGGCATCCAGGAATTTCGTGGTGGAGATTGGGCGGTTGAGGGATGAAGAGAATGGGGAGGATTCGCCTCCGAGCAAGAAGTCGATCGGCGCGAAGTTGGAGGGGAAGTTTCCGTTGACGCGGTGGGAATTCACGGCCGCTTTGGGTGTGTTTTTGATCTTCTCCACCGGGTTGTTCTGCATATACCTAACAATGCCAGCTGCGGAGTATAGTAAACTCAAGCTGCCCCGTACAGTTTCGGATCTTCGAATGCTCAAGTACTTTTTCTAGCTCGAATTTTGCATATGAAGCTCATAAATATTTTTCTTTTATGCATATCCCCTATCCTCTTTATTGCAACAATGTGACATTTTGGTGTTTAGCGAATAGTTTCTTCCTAACTATCTAAAGAATGGTCAATTTCTACCCTGTAAAGTTTTTATTTATTTATTTTTAGGTCATGGCATTGAGATTTAAGTTGTAGTTTTTGAGTAATTGAACAGTTATAAAATGATTTTTAGCTGAAATTTACAGTTTTTTTTTTTTGGAAGAATTGAAGTTTAGCAGGATTTCCCCATAATGGCAGTGAATGGTTGCTTTTGGGAAGATAAATAAGGCTTTGGATGATTGGATTACTAATGACATGAGTCAATTTGCACAATTAGAACTTCATCCCACTCTAAGTGTGGTCTGTTTTTGGTCTTAAGTGGGTCATGCACTTTGAGAATAGGAAAATTTTCAATTGTTTTGAAACCCTTAGAAGGCAACTGGTCTATGGAACATTCAGGAGGGAAATATTTTGTGACAAGATATCTTAAAGGCAGCTTGCCATCTTGTAGCAATCCTATTCTCTGCAAGTGGTAGAAACTTGTGCACCATTTTGGTTTGTTAATTGAGAGAAAAAGAGGAGAAAATATAGGGGAGGAAGGGAAAGAAGAGAAAGCTTAAAAAATTTCATCAGTTTGGGTGCAGAGAATAAATGGTAACAAAGGAAGAGAAAACAAATTATAAGGCCTGTACATGCCTCTTTTCACGTACTTGTACTTTGGCTCAAATGTTGATCTCCTCTACACGTCGCTGAACATTTTTGTGGTGATACTTTTTCTTTTTCTGGAGCGAATTATTTTTTTTAATCTATCCATTTCTTATCTCCTCTTCTAATTTAGTGCAACTTCTTTTCTTTCTCCTCCTCTTAGAAGGTTCGCTAGTGATGATAAAATAGTTTTCTTTTTCTGGTTCAGTTAAGGTTAAATGATGGTTTATTGTTTCATATTGCAATCAACTGCTTTTTGGTGGTTGAAAAAGGCTAGCAAATTCTTATTGTTGTTCCATACTCATGTACCAGAGAATTGTTTTTGTATGTTGACAAAGTTGGGCACATAAAATGAAGAAATGTACTTTGATCTCTGTTGTAGATGAAGTTCCCCTTGACCCTCGTGGACAGAAATGAGAATTTTTGTACAAGTCTCATTTTGCTTTTCAAAATTAAGCTTGTACATCATACTTTTAGTATAGAGGCAAGAACCTAGAGTTAGGGAGTTGATGAGAAGTGCTGGTAATGTGGGGCTTAAATCTAGTGGTCCCTTTGGTTGTGTAGACACATTTTATTGCATGTAATGAACTGCATAGAAGATTATTAATTTTTTTTGATTCAATTAAGTTACTATTTATTAAAATTTACTTTTAATGATAAAAATTGCTGCAGAATATTCTTGCATTGTGATAGACTGTTTATATTTTTTTCTGTTTGTTTTAAGGCCATAACCTGTTTATTTAACCAATAACTATAGAGGCCATAGACCCTATTAGGGTACAGTTCTCCACAATTCTCTAGAAATCTTCTGGTAGACATAGGGCATGGTCAGAGCCAAGGGTGCTTTCTGAGTCAAATAAGAGAAGGCATACAACATGTCGATTGGAGATTTTTGCTATACATTATATTGGTTGGGCAGAAAAGATGGATGGAAACATGCATTTCTGCTGATATTTTATATTCAGTGAATGGTCTTGAAGGTATCTCATCAAGTTTGAAGGTATTGAAGCAAGGGACTCCTTTTCTCCCTATTGCTGTTTTTAATGATTGAGGCATTAAGTTGTTGAAGTGGGTAGTTAAGGGTGGTATAATTAGTGGCTTTTTGGTGTTCTATGTGACCCAAAAAAAAAGTGCAAAGGGGATCAGGAGTCGGTAAACCATATCCTTTTGCATTTTTGAGTGGTTAGAGATGTTTGCACCTTGTTTTTGTTCTTTTTTGGTGTTTATTGGGTTTCACCGAGTTTAACTGTTGGCATGTTTGAGGCTTGGAGAGGTTGTATATTGGTAGTCAAGTCCAAGATGCTTGGAGAGAAACTCCGCTTTGCTTGTGGTGGCATTTGTGGTGCAAGAGGAATTGGAGGTCCTTTGATTGAGATTTCCCTATTTGGGTGTTAAAACACTCCATCTTAAGTTCTCTATCTTTTTGGGTCAAAGGGTGATATTGTAAATTCACATTGGATTTTTGTAGAATGTGTGGATAATTTGAGAGTTTAGAGGGCCTGTTGTTGCCCCATTATGCAGTTGTTCTCTTGGGGGCGCTCCCCTTTTGAACGCTTTTTAATGAAATTTTACTTATCAAAAAATAAAATAAAATAGGAGTTTTTTGTTGGCAACATAAAGGGAGCTTATGTAGTATCCTGATTTTATTTATCTATTTATTTTCTATTAGTGGTGGTGAAGTGTGATCCAAGGGTACACAAGGGATTATGACACTTGTTTGGATATTAGTCATGTGTGCATACTATGTACATATATTTAATTATAGTCTTGTGTCTAAAGTAGTCATTAAGCAAGAATGAAAGAAAGAAATTACGAGTATCTATATAGGCAAATAGGGTGGTGCACGTGCCACCCAAATGAAGGAGTCAAAGCACTTCTATTGTATGTCATACAAGTGTAGTAAAAAACGGGGTGACATAAATATATGTACATAATATGCACACATGACTAATATCCAAACAAGTTTCATAATCCCTTATGTACCCTTAAGAAAAAAAAATCAGGATACTACATTTTTCAGAAGTAAATCAAGTTTTTCACAAGACATCAATCATCTAAAAAATTCAAAATTTGATAATATAGAATAATATCCTTTAAAAAGATTTAAAGTGTGAAAAACTACCTCTTGAAGTCCCCTTTTTTCCTCTCTCTCTCTCTCTCTCTCTTGTTCTGCCGAGACTCACCCAGGGTACGCACTTTAAAAGGGGCCTCTCTCTCTCTCTTGTTCTGCCGAGACTCACCCAGGGTACACACTTTAAAAGGGGCCTTCAAGAAAGAGAGAGAGAGAGAGAGAAAGGGGACTTCAAGAGGTAGTTTTCCACACTTTAAATCTTTTTAAAGATATTATTCGATGTTATCAAAAATTGAATTCTATAGTATCCTGATTTTTTTTTTTGTTAGTGGTGGTGAAGTGTGATCCAAGGGTACACAAGGGATTATGAAACTTGTTTGGATATTAGTCATGTGTGCATATTATGTATATATATTTATGTCATCCCGTTTTTTACTACACTTGTATGATATGCAATACAAGTGCTTTGACTCCTTCATTTGGGTGGTATGTGCACCACCCTATTTGCCTATATATATAATTTCTTTCTTTCATTCTTGCTTAATGCCTACTTTAGACACAAGACTATAATTAAATATATGTACATAATATGCACACACATGACTAATATCCAAACAAGTGTCATAATCCCTCGTATACCCTTGGATCACACTCACCACCTCTAATAAAAAAAAACAGAATACTAGATTCTACCCTCCTTAAAATAAATTTCACCATCGAAATTTAGAATTTGCTAAGACTCCTCACAACCAGAATTACAAGCCTATGGTGTAGCTTCAGTGAAGGACTTATTATTTGAATTGGAATACTGGGGTTATAGCTATCACTTGAGGAAAGAAACTTCAGAACTATTCTGCTCGAACATGGAATTTAAATGGAATTTGGGAGAAATGAATAGCTTAAGCGTAAAGAATGTTAAAAGTTTTAGAAGATCCTTGGCTGATTGCCAATCTATAATGTGTTTCAGGTTGGAACATTTGAGTTGGAATGAGTTGAGAATGGATTACAACCTTGTAAGAAATTATATCAATGATTCTCATTAGATACCCATTGTTAAATATAATTTTTATGGGGATTGTTGGATTGGTAGTGTCACATTACCTAGTGAAATCTTGCCCGGAAAATTTTAAAATATGTATATTCAATTACAATATTTCCCTAAATAAATCTTTTTCATCATCATTACTCATTCGGTGAAATAGATAAATTATTCAGATGGAGGATAGAAAATTGGAAAAAGAAAAACCACCAAAACCGTCAGCGGACAACAAAGCAATGGGAAGAGATGCTAAAACATTCCCACTACTGATCAACCTCGAGCAGAAGCAGAGGAAGGGGTTGTCTATGGTATGCAGTTATGCCCCATTTTGTGGGTGAAACACACCCAATCCTGCGAGGAGAAAGTCCTCGCAACTTGGGTAACTGGAGGGGAGTCTGATACTAAGAGTAGCATGAATCAAGGCTCAAAAAGGGAGTCTGACGGAGTATAGCGGGCATGAAAAAAAGGGGGAACACTTGTCTCACAAAACAGTAAGCTTCACGTCCCTTGTGTATTTATGATTTTCATAAATATAAATAAACAGTAATATGTGGCAGGCGTCTGAATGCATGTGGGGCAGTTGTCTAGCATTCAAAACTTCTCTTTAAGTTTTGCTTGACCCACAGTTTCTGATATACGGTATTATCTCAAAGTTTCCAAAGGAAGCTTTGACTAAAGTCCTGTAGGATGAGTAAATAAGAGACTAAAAGAAAAGATAAAAAAAAACAGGTTGCACACGTTTGTGTGCATGGGCAGCAGGTGCCTCTCTTAAACCAAAGGTAAGTTTCAAAGCTTCCTTGGGTCTGTACGATTATTAACTGAGAGACCAAAAGGAAGCCCGCCGGGGGGGGGGGGGGGAGAAGAGAAGAAGAAGCAAAGCAAGCAAACAAACAGATTGGGCGAGTCTCGGCAGGACAAGAGAGAGAGAGAGAGAGAGAGAGAGAGGGAGGGAGAGGGAAATTTTTAAGATGACTTCAAGAGGTAGGCTTCCACACTTCAAATCTTTTTAAGATATTGATCTAAATTATCAAAAATGGAAAATTTTAGATGATTGATATCTTGTGAAAATATTGATTTAGTTCTAAAATTTATTTGTCAACTATCTGGAAATTGTTGAAAATTTTGCTTAACCTTG